CCCCGTCTCCGCCTCGAATCACTGCACCAGATTGAGCTAAAAGATTATGTCACCCTGTTGCTCTATTAAAGACCGGGAGCGAGTGGAGGGCCTCACCATTCTGGCAAATTGCCCAATGATGCTGGATGTAGTTACCAGCGAAACGTCACAGTACTCAAAATTTTAAATGATGTTGATTCACTCTTCAACACACCGGTGGGCTAAAGTAGTGAACTATTTGTCTTGGTAAACGTGACACATTTTTTGACTGTTTGGCAGTGTCGGGTGGTGGAGGGTTACGAAACATTTATAAAATAACGCGATGTAACCTAAAAAATATTTACGACTAATATTGGTCGCGAAAGCCTCCGTGTTAAACTGACCATGTACTGTGTTAGCTACTGGAAGACAAAGGCGGTTGGCGAGGTTCTGATCCTGTGGAATACGTTATCTTATTCTTGGTTCTTTCGGTAAAGTCGCGTAGAAGGGAAACAATAAAATAATAACCTGATGGTTCAATGAGCCACTGTCTACAGGAAAGCTAACCATATGGATGCTTACCTGAAACCGGATTTCCACCACCATCCATTCCAGAAGAATTCCCTCATCAAGACTCTGCACCGTGGTTTTCACACCTGATGATGATTGCTTCTGTTGCAGTCGAAACGTTGTGGGAATTTTGTTTTATATTTTTATTATTTTATTGTTTCCCTTCTACGTGGTGACTTTACCAAAAGAACCAAGAATATGAATCCCTGCAGTCACGAAAGCTTTAAATCAAAACATTATCTTGGTCGTGTGTGATTGATATATTTCGCATTGTATCTCTTCTGAATGACCCGAGGTCTAATACTTTCATAATGACTTGGTGCATGCTTAACCAAGATTTGTGGTATACCATAGTTGTTACCAAGGATATTACAAAGGGTTGTATTAATCTTTGTTCCCAGTCTGTATTGACAGGGATCTGTGCTTCTTATTCTCAAGTTATACTTTGATATCCTGAGGTTGAAGATATAGCTAAGCTTCAAACCTTACTGTTGTATTTCAAAAACCACAGTTAGCTCATAATGATTAACTGCCCTTTGATATATATGCCGGGTATTGGAAATTTAATGAAAATAATAAAAATATTTTTAAAGCGTAATTATCAGAAATTATGTTAATGTATATAATTATGCACATACATTATGCTAAACAGATATATAATCTTCATGATTTATGTGTGTGCGATTATGCTAATGCAAGCCGTTATGATAATTAGGCCCTGTCTCGTTGTCGAGGGCAGTATTACCAATCGGGATAATACAATTAATGTATGAAGTTATGCAGGTGTGCTGTAAGTATGCCAGATTAAGCTCGGCTTCGTTGTCTAGGTTCGTATTATCACTCGGTATAATACAATTATTCTCGCTTTAACATTTACTGATTATGTAATAGTGTGTTTATTTCAGGTCTCCAAATTCAAATCTCACCGCAGGATACAGTTCTTATAATTAAGATTATTACGCATGAACTTAGGAAAGAAACACTCAAACACTTCTGTGTTAAGCAATTTTAATTTCTAAACAAAAACATAACACTCTAATATGCAAACTCTTATGCTTGGAATTGTCAACACAGTACTCCTGGAGATGTTCTCCTCATTGATCCATACATTTAACCCTCAATGATCACGTTGTTAAATTGGGTAACAGAATAATTGATTAATTCCTTAAAGTAACGCGAGCAAATACGGTGATAGGAAAAAGGCCTTAAATTCATGCAACGACGTTGATACGAAGGGCAATAAAGAAACATGCCCCGAAGGCAAAAGTATATGGCAATTAATTCATTGGGAAGATTATGTAGTTACGAAATGTCTTGGGACAATGGTGTGCGACAGTATGCCTGCTTCAGAAAATGCTTATCAATTGGCTGAAGCTTCAATTAATTCGCAGGCAAGATTCTGTGATCAAAAGAACGATTTCAACACAGTATTCTCCCTGTCTAGTGTGTAGATTCGTAACGTAGGTTTCTAAACGTTTAGTTTCATAAATGAATTCATTGGTAATAGCTATGCAATTAAAAAGAAAGAGAAACAATAATGACTTAAATACATCTAAATGACCGTATCCACGTAACTCAATGGGCCGCAATGTTCTTCGTTATCAGCTCATAGTTGATGCACTTATCATGAGTCTTCTTGTATTTGTTAATGTGTGAGTGTTGTTGATCTTCTTGCGTTAAGAAAATGCCAAGATTGGGCATCTATTGTATCAAAAATGTGTTTGTCTCCTGCGGAGAGGTGAGGGTGTGAGGGTGGGCGTGTCTTACAACGGCCTCGTTGCTTTTTCTTGCTCGGGGTGTCGGCTTAGCTGCCCGTCCGCTGGCAGATACAGGCTCTTTCCACTGCTGGAGGAGTTGCGTTGGCACGTTGCTCGTCCTTGAAGATGCCCGATCACGCTTGCCGCTGGTCCGTTGGCAGCAGCAGGCTCCTTCCACTGCTGGAGGAGCTGCGCCGCACGCGCCCTCTCCTTGAAGATGCTCGATCGGGCTCGCCACTGGTCCACTGACAGCAGCAGGCTCCTTCCACTGCTGGAGGAGCTGCGTTGCAAGCGCTCCTTACTGCCCCGTGCTCTTTGTCGATGCCCGATTGCGCATACAGTTCGTTCGCTGGTGGCAGACACCCTTGCTCATTATTCTATTGCTCGGCTGTAGCTGCTGGTGGGAGCTGGCACTCAGGATAGAATTACTTTGAGCGATACTTCTTCTGTCAGCTCTAAACTCGTGTTCGGTGACACCGCTACTCGGCAAGTCTCTCCATCCCTGGTTGATTGCAGAGTCTCACCCCGGAGCTTGCCGCTCGCCACCCTCTTCTGTCGCTCGCCCAGCTATCTCTTGCTGAGCTGTCACTTGTCGAGCTCCCCATGTCGAGCTGAACTGTGTGTCGTGTTGCTGTTTTTATCCGAAAAATCTCCCCTCTGCGCGTCTCTTGCGAGAGAAAAAAACAGATGCTTACTCCATCATGCTCTCCCCCTGCGGCCGCGCCTGATTGTCCCCCTCCCCTCTTCCCTTGGTGACCCCGGGCTGCTTTACATCAAATTGATGTTTGTTTGCCCTCCCAACCCCTCTCTTCGCGGTGTCCGCTAAGGGAGGGGACGCACATTTCATACGTTTTATGGCTACTATGTGTTTGTGTCAAATTGTTGGAAGACAAAGGCTGCCAGGGAGTCTCTGATTTAATGGAATACATTTATCTGGTCTTTGTGTTTGACCTACTCCTTGTACCTCTAATGAATTAGCCTAGGTCTAATCTCTTGTGATTATTATTTGGTTTGTGTTTAACCAAGATTTGTAATGTACCATTAGATGTTACCTCGGGTATTTCAAGGGTTTTATTAACTTTTGCTCCCTGTCTGCATCCAGGGATCCGTGTTTTTTTATTCGAGGTCAGAGATATCCCGAGGCTGGAGATATAACCAAGCCCTCACTTTCTTGACTGCCAGAATTCACATTCCTTGGTTCTCTTGGTGAAGTTACATAGAAATATACACTAAGAAACAATGTGAGTTGAATAAGGGTGAAATAATAAAAAAGTCATAATAAAGCCACTAATATAGACTGCAGTCTATCATGTCGACTTATTCTTATAACCAAGCTTTAACTTTTTCCGTACAAAAAATATATATCAGTTATAATGTCCGCTTGCCCTGTGCTCTGTGTCCGTGTCTGTGATTCTGGATATTTGTTTGTGAACTGTCAAAAGTGCCAAGCAGGTCATGGTATGTGGTCCTTTGGCAATCTGGAGATTTTGCAGATCGTCGTTAACCTCCCTTTGCCCTGGAGTTTATTAACTAATGGTCTTTTACGACCTCCAGATGCTTGGTGTTTGTGGGAGGTAGCGGGTTTGAGGCTGTCTATTTATTTATTTGATCGATTATTATTTTTAAAAAATGGCAGAATTATTCTTAATATAAATTTTGGAAAAAGGCCTACATATACAACACCTTGGGTGAATTTCGCTGTCTTTTGTTTTATTGTGGGTTTTTCCTTCATGGCGGCCTTCTCTTGAAGTCAACTGGGGATTTCCCGCAGAATCTCATTAGCCCCCCCCCCCCTTGGGTTTGCCAATTTTAAAATTATATTTATGACTTCCCCAGCAGGCTTGTGAGTAATTATCCTCCAGCAGTCTTGTGTGGCAAGGCAGGAGGCAGCGGGGAGGGGGGGTGTGACTCACCCTTTCCGTGCCCCAGCGCTACATCCCAATCAAAATGATTACAAAACAGTACAAAGAATCAATCAATATAATTTCATGGAAAAGGCATATATACAACATGCTCTTCGAGTGTTTGTGATGAGATGATACGAAACAACTGAGTTGCTGAGGCGATTAAGCAAGCACCATATAAATGCTAAGATTATTATAACATAGTTTAACATAGTGAATGCTTCGGAGATTATTGGCTCTGGCTCCTGGTAAGAGATCTACCCAACCCACAGGTCCGCAAACACTAGTTGCTCTTACTCTGCAGATTGAACCTAGGAATGGAGTGTTCAACTTCACGTTATTGTAATTAAAAGCCTGTGACAAATGTTAATCTATTGGAGCTTCATTGTCTCAAGCTTACACATCTACAGGGTCTCCATTTGACTTTGTATTGTCTAAGAAGTCCACCCACACCTCCACTTCCACAAACTGCTGGGAGTTGCCTCGCTCTGCCTCACAATCAGAATTCTCCTCCTGCTTCACGTTGCCTCCATCGATTTGAAGGCCCAATTTTGGAGTTGAATCTTCATCTTCATATTTTACCATTACTTCTTCGCTCTTCATCACTTCACATTTCACCTTCACTTCTTCGCTCTTAACCATCACTTCTTCACATTTCACCTTCGCCTCTTCAAAATCCACCTTGATATATTTCATTGCGTCCAAGCTGGAATTAAATTCTGGTTCTTTTTTCAGCAGGGATGGGCTCATTGCAGCACTTGGGCTTTCACAAGCCGATTTCAGACTCCGCTCCTTGGAGATCTTCTGATACCTGTGTGTCCTCTGGTGTTTATGAAGCTGTGGTGACTGTGCAAACGCCTTCCCGCACAGAGTGCACTTGAACGGTTTATCTCCTGTGTGTGTTCTCTGGTGGTTGTGAAGAGTTGATGACCGTGCAAATGCGCTTCCACACACAGTGCACTTGAAGGGTTTCTCTCCTGTGTGCCTTCTCTGGTGGTTGCGAAGAATTGATGACTGTGCAAATGCCTTCTCACACACAGTACACTTGAAGGGTTTCTCTCCTGTGTGTGTTTTCTGGTGGCTCTGAAGAACTGATGACTGTGCAAATGCCTTCTCACACACAGTGCACTTGAAGGGTTTCTCTCCTGTGTGTGTTCTCTGGTGGCTCTGAAGAACTGATGGCTTGGCAAATGCCTTCTCACAGACAGTGCACTTGAAGGGTTTCTCTCCTGTGTGTGTTCTCTGGTGTTTTTTAAGACGTGATGACTCTGCAAATGCCTTATCACACACAGTGCACTTGAAGGGTTTCTCTCCTGTGTGTGTTCTCTGGTGGCTCTGAAGAACTGATGGCTTGGCAAATGCCTTCTCACAGACAGTGCACTTGAAGGGTTTCTCTCCTTTGTGCGTTCTCTGGTGTTTTTTAAGATGTGTTGACCGTGTAAACGCCTTCCCGCACACAATGCACTTGAAGGGTTTCTCTCCTGTGTGTGTTGTCTGGTGTCTCTGAAGAACTGCTGACTTTGCAAATGCCTTCTCACAAACAATGCACTTGAAGGGTTTCTCTCCCGTGTGTGTTCTCTGGTGGTCGTGAAGAAGCGATGGCTTGGCAAATGCCTTCTCACAGACAGTGCACTTGAAAGGTTTAGCTCCTGTGTGTGTTCTGTGGTGGCTCCTAAGAACTGATGACTGTGCAAATGCCCTCTCACACACACTGCACTTGAAGGGTTTCTCTCCTGTGTGTGTTCTCTGGTGGCTCTGAAGAACTGATGGCTTGGCAAATGCCTTCTCACAGACAGTGCACTTGAAAGGTTTATTTTCTGTGTGTGTTCTCTGGTGTTTTTGAAGATTTGATGACTGTGCAAATGCCCTCTCACACACACTGCACTTGTAGGGTTTCTCTACTGTGTGTGTTCTCTGGTGGGTCTGAAGAACTGATGACTTTGCAAATGCCTTCTCCCAGACAGTGCACTTGAAAGGTTTCTCTTCTGTGTGTGTTCTCTGGTGTTTTTGAAGATTTGATGAATGTGCAAATGCCTTCTCACACAGAGTGCACTTGAAGGGTTTCTCTCCTGTGTGAGTTCTCTGGTGCTGTGCCAAACTTCCAGTATGATCCGTGCTGTATGCACACTGGTCGCATTGTTTCTTTTTTGTACCGAGCTGCGCTGAGTGCTTTTGCTCCATCAGACCAATTCTGCAGAGGAAGCGTCAGAGGAAGCGTCAGCTGCAGTCAGAAAAACGTATCCACACCATCTACGTCAGTATCAAGACACAGAGGAATTCATATATACACAGTCACACATGACTTACACATCTATACTTATTCATATATTCATGATATAGTGAAAATTATTCCCCAATTCATCACGCGGGGTGTTTAGGCACACAATGAGAGGGGCAATGGTCATACATATTCCTGGATGCCCTAGTATTTTCAAAATGAATGTTTACCCAAAACTCCAAGCACACAATTTCGGCTGTCTAGCTATGAAAGGAATATTTAAGAAAAATTCAGCTACAATAGCAAAGTGTGTTGAAAATAATACTATTTGTATTATGCAGAAATGCAGAAATTAATGTTCAATCGAAACTTCGAGGTGGAAGCCAGGCTCAGATTTGCTTGAATGCTCGGATGAACAGATCTAACTTCAGCTACATATGTGCTGAGATATTTTCCGGACTGTTTCCATTCTTACAAAAAGGCCCAGAGGAAAATTAAAATAAACTATTGTTTTGATTTAACCTCCATGTTCAATCGTTAATATACATTACTGCAAATACAAACTTGACATTGTCAAACACTGCATGGTAAAAAGGTGGTTGTGTGTCCAGAACCATGCCTGGTCACCTTCATCTGCTCATTATTAATGCTTTCTCACTTCAGCATGTAATTAATTTAAGATCAATCAACATAGCAGAGGCCCACAATAAGTTCAGCTTTCACTTACACTATGTAACACGATTTTTTTTGTCCCTGGATGGCTAGTGTTATCTTTTTATTGGTCATGCCCACAAACTTTATTTTTGTGACCAGGACTTTACGTGAAGGAATGACACAAATGCGCACGTTTTCTCATTGAAAATAGATACATTTCAAAATATCACTGTCCTGGTTACAAAAGCAAAGTTTGTGGGGAGGGAATAAGAGCCATTTTCTGTACTTTTGAGGCATAAGCAATTAGAAAATAACACTTACTACACAGGGACTTTTTTTGTTACAAAGTGTTATTAATCATGTTTGCTGTCGGCGATAATCAAAGTAATTGTTGAGTTCATAATGCAGTGACATAACTGCGAGATAAACTCATAAATACACGTACATTTCACATGGATCATTAACATATATACACAAAACATCCACAATTCATGATGAATTGCAAGTAACCTTATTCCAGTGCTAATGCCATGATAGGTGCAATTTAAGGCCATGTAAGTGTGGATTCCTTGTCAGCAGGCAATGGGAATGATCCAGGTGTCAAGGGATGACTGACATAAGAACCAGCGGGTGATCCCCACTGTCTTGCTGGGTTTAAGGAACCCAGCGTTCCACATATTATTCATGTGGGCATTGCTCTTCCGACCTCATCGTTATTGCAGAGCAACTATCTCTTATCTGCCATGAAGCATACCTCACGGGCCTCCTCCACAGAGGCCGATCTCCACTCCTGGCACCAGTCATAAGCAGCTCCGATCACCTCTATATCCTCTAATCTCTTCTCTAGGCAATGCCATGCCTGATCAGCCCCTAATATCTGGACAAAAAGCTGCTTGAGCATGGAGTGTCTGGGAATGCGGGATTCATGACCAAACCAATGTAGCCTCGGCTGCCAAAGAAACTCAAGATTATATTCTATATTGATATCTTAAGGATCTGTAAGCTTCTAATAGAATATAGTCTGGTTGAATAGAGTGAATCATAGGCAGGTCAGCCTTCATTATATAAGCCAGCATAGATTGTCATTTAAATAAGTTCATATTCTGAATCCACAGAGTAATATCTGTGGCCAAGAAGAATCACAGCTTTATTCGTTAGTTTTTAAAAACGCTTGTCCTGGCGAGGGTCGCGGTGGCAGCATGCTGAGAAGGGCGGTCCAGGACTCCCATTCCCTGGCGACAAACTCTAGCTCATCCTGGGAAATTCCCAAGCGATCCCAGGCCAGCAGAGCGACACAGTCCCACCAGCGTGTTCTGGGCCAGCCCTGGGGCCTTCGCCCAGTGGGAGGTGTTTGGTAGAGATCCAGGTGGAGTCTATTGGGGGGCATCCTTACATATATTCTATATTGTTATCACCCCTAGAGCCAGGCCCTGTGTTCACCAACAAGTGCCTCGTGGCCGTGTGACCCACGTAACTCAGTCAGGCCAACTCGAATTGGCTAAGTGGTGCCATCCTCTTCTTTGGTTATTTCGGTAAAGTCACATAGAATGAGAATAAAATAATAAAATAAAACAATAAAATTCTCACGACGTTTCGGCCACAACACAAGTGGCCTTCTTCAGGTGAAAGGAACAAACCTATCGGGACGACAGAGCTACAATGAATGCTGCTAAGATTCGCAGCGTCTTTTAAGCTGGTTGAGCGAAGTGGGGCACCTTGATAAAGGGGTTTACATATCAAACAGGAGAATTTATCATTGAAACAGTTGAGGGATTAGCTTGTGACTGGTCACAGAAATAGATATGTTAAAGTCAAAGCCTACACATCCACAGAGGCACCTTGTACATGGACGCCAAAGGGGGAAAGACCCAATGGGGGAAAGACCCAATGATGAATCCTCTTTGCAGATTGTACGGTCAGAATATCCGTTCATCCTGAGGGCTTGGTGTACGTGCTCCAGCTCACTGGCTAGGTGATGCTAGTCGGAGATGCAACGGGCCCTATGGTGTAGTGTTTTGACAAGGGAATTCTTCTGGGCTGCATGGTGGTGGGAGTCAGGCTTTAGATCGGCATCCATGTGGGTGGCTTTCCTGAAGACAGAGTGCCCCAATGAGCCATCAGGTCTCTTCTCGATCAAAACATCTAGGAATGGTAGCTTGACATCCTTTTCCAATTCCATGATTAATTTGATAGATGGGTGTATGGAATGGATGTGTACTCTTTGGTTCTTTTGGTAAAGTCACGTAGGTAGAAATAAAATAAAACAAATCACTCCGTTTCGAACGCAATACGTGCGATCTTAATCAGTTGACACAACCACAGCAAGAAAATGCTGAAGTTGGCGGGAGAGCTGCCGTGCCAAGAAGTTATATAGGTAAGAGAGGGGGGAGGAAGAAAGGGGGGGGGAGAGGGGGTGGAGGTGTGGGGTAGGGGCGTCGGGGGGAAGTGGGCGAGGCAAGAAGTGGGAAGGTGGTGGAAGAACAGATAGAGGACGTGAGGCAAATTGAACAACCATTGGAAGGATGTTATCAACCAGGTAATGCCTTAACTTGTTGTTCCCATCATTACCTGAGGGTTACTGCTAGCCCCACCCACGTCCCCCCCTCCCAGCCTCACGTCCTCTTCCCCTAGCGCTCACGCGGGCCTCCCCCCCTCTCTCCCTCCCCCCTTGCCTCCTCGCTCCTCTCTTACCTATATAACCTCTTGCCACGGCAGCTCTCTCGCCGACTTCAGCATTTTCTTGCTGTGGTTGTCCCACCTGATGAAGATCGCTTGTGTTGCATTCGAAACATCGTGATTTTTTTATTTCTACCTACGTTACTTTACCGAAACAACCAAAGAGTATGGATTCCTGCAGTCACAAAAATCTTCAAATCAAGATGGAATTGATGTGGTTGAGAAATTGGTTAAGTGCTGGCAGGCCATGTGGCTAGATGACGAATGTGTCATCTACGTATATCTTCCACAAGGAAGGACATAGGGTGGATGTCTGGATGGCATCTGTCTCAAATTTCTCCATGAAAACATCCGCTACCACTGGCGATAAGGGAGAACCCATTGGGGTACCCTCATTTTGTTTGTAGAATGTACCATTCCAGGTGAAGTAAGTGTTGGTAAGGCAGTGCAAAGCCCTCACGATGAACAGATATTCTGACCGTACAATCCGCAAAGCTGTCTCGCCATTGCCATGTGAGGATCCAACTGAAACCATAACTTTGCCATATATAACAGGGGCTACCAAAAATATTTCCAAAATCTTAAAGAAACACAAGATCTAGGTTCGTTTCAACACAGTACACAAAATCCGTGATTTGATCCCATCTGTAAAGGATGTGATTCCTGACATGCAGTACCCGTGTGTCTACAAACTGAGTTGTGGCTGCGGCACCAGTTACATTGGGGAAACGAAATGACATGTTTTGGACCGCGATCGCGAACACAAGGCAGATCTGAAACATGGTAGGACCAATACCTCTGCCGTTGCTGATCATTGTTTTAATGCTGCAGGCTCACACACAAAATATATTTTTCCAAGACGAAAGATGTGCATACCCAGACACAACTTCAACCGAGAAGATGGACACAAACTGAACAATCATTGGAAGGACGTTATTAACCAAGGAAAGTCTTAACTGACTGTGATGTTTCTATCCTACCTGCCTATGTCAGCTGTTATATCCGACTCTCTGAGTACATCACCAGGCTAAATATCTGTGAGGTGGCCCAGCCACAGGAGGATCACCGCCACCCCTGGTGGCTGGGACCGTCGCACATTGACATGCCAATCTCTCTTACATTGACATGCTAATCTCTCTCACATTGACATGCTCATCTCTCACATTCACATACAAATTCCTTCTCTAGCTCCGCCCACTTACTTTTGGGTTGAGCCCACCAAAATCTTATATATAAAAGTCTCCGCCCGCGTGCTTGCGAGGGATTTGGCTCTCGAACGGTGGGCTTGACGTCGAAAAAAATTGCCAGGCAGCACGCCCTAAGCCCCGCGGTGGGAATAGGCTATTCCGTTTTCCCATCCTTAAACTTTAATTAGTAAAATGAGCGATTTAATGCCATTCTAATTATTGACTTATTGCGCGAGCTCGACCGTACCAACTGGCGACAATTACGTGGGGGGGGGGGGGGCGGACCCTGCCAAGTGATGCGCGTTCAGTCGAGCTCACGGGGGACATTTTCTTTTACGCGTTTAACATGCAATTAATATAGA